TAATTGATAAGATATAGACATCTCTTGTGATTACTATGAAAGTACGACGTATCACCATGACTGATCTGCTTAATTGATAAGATATAGACATCTTTTGTGATTACTATGAAAGTACTACATATCACCATGAATGATCTGCCTAATTGATAAGATATAGACATCTCTTGTGATTACTATGAAAGTACTACGTATCACCATGGCTGATCTGTCTGCGCACACCCCTACACTTCGCCAACCGTCATTGATCGCAGTACATTCCTACATTCCATACAGTACACGCATCAGGAGGTGCCAGCCCACTCAGCAGCCGCGGATTCCGACGAAAACGACAACCCCGCCTGTTCCAAATACGGCGATTTCCACTTGCCTCCCACGGCCACGCTCAACGAGGACGACTTCACATTTGTGTACAACGCCCAAGCGCAACCCAATCCAAATGCCATTCGAAAGAAAATCGGGACGGTCATGGCGTCACGCTTGGCGGCACTCAAGGCGTCGCTTGTAGACAGGTATCAGGTGTCAGGTGTCATGTATTCCGAGTGTCAAGTGTTGAATGTCAAGTGTCAAGTGTCAAGTGGCACTTGACCTATGGTCTTACTACCCGTCTATTGCAAGACAAGTGACTTACTTCCGGTCAGAGGTGTCAAATATATGTGGTCCGTGACACGTGACACGTGACATGTCGGTGTGCGAGGTGGTTTAGTGATCCGGAGTTTGAAATTTAGCAAATGGATTATTAAGGAACACAGAAGTTAAAAGCACCTGATTGGTCTATTTATATTCGAAAACTTAATTTAACCATAAAATGCAGCCGAAACCTGTAAGGCAAATGGATAAACTGATGTATTAGTAGTTAACAGTTAAACCTCAGCCAATGAATATATACGTAATACGCACGACAAACGAATAACAATCCTCTACACCTATCAACATCAGGGCCGGCAACAAAATAACAGACCCACCTCGTGGTCAGCCCATGCCACCCGTGTGCACGGTGGAGGCGGTACAAGCAGAGGACCTTCCTGAGACGTTTAACGGGGAGTTGGCTGCAGATGCAAATCGCACACCCATTAACTCAGATACTCATACCGCTGCACCGTCGGGGGAACACACGCAGGTGAGACTGATACGCGGATGGGTCGGTAGTATGTGCGGGTGTGTACGGGTGCAGGTGAATGCACTCTAGCATCATGCGCAGGTGCGAATAGATCACCGTATGTGCTTAGATGCGACGCCACGAGTTGCAACTGCGTTGTTACAGATGGGTGAGGTTGTTACGCGGATATGGTCCATGTTGCACCTACAGGTGTATATAACGTGGGTGGTAGTATAAGATAAGCTTTCTGCCAATGCTTGTATGTTCTACTGCCAACTGGTACATAGCTTTGATCGTATATCACACGTTTAAGCTCACAAGCACGAGTTTTGGTGTGCTATTTATAGACATGGTTTTGGTGGCCGGGTTCGTTGTACTGCTTCTATCCATGATGTAGTGGTCGGGTGCTTCTGCACGTATCTGCAAATGTATTTACAGATGTATTTATACGTCTTAGACCACCCATCTAGACACGTACACATAAGCTGAAGTACACTCACGCACTGCTCAGTCAGTATACACGTGTGTATGGGCTTGTAGCAGTACGCCCATGGAGTGTTCCCTTAGAGCCACCGCATGTACAGGCCATTCTTCGGATTAACCATACTCAAACTTGTCGCGTCGATATATTTATACTTGTACCTGATGTTTAGTGATAGTCAATTTTTTTTGACTATTGCGAAGGATCGATGTGCTCTGTGAGTCGCGTATCAATAACTATTAATCGCCTCAGACGGCTGCTACTACAATTCCTCTCATGATATCGGAGGGGAGTGCTGTCGTGTCTGATAGATACCAGACACCGACTAGAGATATTGATTGCGTGCAAAGTCGTGAACTATTACGCATAGCCTGTGTGTATTTGGCTGCGTTCACCATCGTACAGATCGGCTTCGTATCTTGGCCTTGTTTGAGTGAAAGCACGGATCTCACTTAGACTATAAACGAGCCACGCACAGTGAAAGCCCTGATTTTACTTAGACTATAAACCAGCCACGCACAGTGAAAGCACTAATTTCACTTAGACTATAAACGAGCCACTCACAGTGAAAGTACTGATTTCACTTAGACTATAAACGAGCCTCTCACAGTGAAAGCATTGTTTTCACTTAGACTATAAACGAGCCACGCACAGTGAAAGCACTGATTTCACTTAAACTATAAACGAGCCACGCACAGTGAAAGCACTGATTTCACTTAGACCATGAACGTGCCACTCACACGTCTTGTACACACGCGCAGAGAGAAAGCCCATCGGAAACCGCTGAACTATTCACTGCCTCAACTGTCCTGCTACAACAGCCCATGCGACAGCCAGTAGCGGGTGAGTTGTTGTGTGAACAGATGGGTTGGGTTGTGTTGTGTCTGGGTTTGGCCTCTTAAGATATGTTCTGTTGTTTGAGAATGTATGTGGCATGTATGGTTCAGTTGTGTTGGTTTGGGTGGGGTTGGGTTGTGTCTAGGTTTAGCCTGTTAAGATATGTTCTGTTGTTTGAGAATGTATGTGGCATGTATGGTCAGTTTTGTTGGTTTGGGTTGGGTTGGGTTGAGTTGTGTCTAGGTTTAGCCTGTTAAGATATGTTTTGTTGTTTGAGAATGTATGTGGCGTGTATGATTCAGTTGTGTTGGTTTGGGTTGGGTTGGGTTGTGTCTAGGTTTAGCCTGTTAAGATATGTTCTGTTGTTTGGGAATGTATGTGGCGTGTATAGTTAAGTTGGGTTAGATTGGGTTGGGTAGGGTTGGGTTGTGTCTGGGCTTAGCCTGTTAAGATGTGTTCTGTTGTTTGAGAATGTATCTGGCGTGTATAGTTCAGTTGTGTTGGTTTGGATGGGTTGGGCGTGGTCTGTGTTTAGCCTGTTGCAGATATATTATGTTGTGCGAGAATGTATATGACGTGTACAGTTCAGTTGGGTTTGTTTGGGTTGAGTTTGGTCTGGGTTTAGCCTGTTGTAGATATATTATATTATGTTGTTTGAGAATGTATATGGCGTGTATAGTTTAGTTAAATTGAGTTTGGCTGGATTAGGTTGGGTTAGGTTGGGTTGGGTCTGGGGTTGATCTGTTGCAGATACACTGTGTAGTGTGAGAATGTATGGGGGTGTTGTTGCAGAAGTTGTATGTTGTTTTTTGTTTGTATATGGCGCGTTTACGGTGATGTTATGTGACATATGTAGTATTTCTTAGACTCGCTGTTTTATCAGATCAGGCTTTATGTTTGTATATCAATAAACACATACTCATATATTCTCCTATACATACGTACCCCACTCCGCAGAACCGTCACCGCCCATCTCTAGGGCCGTGACACCCACACAGCCCCAGCCGTCCACTCCTCGGGCTATCCCGAACGAACACCACAGCCACGCCCCAGAGCACACGCACGCACCCCACCACGCACACATGCAAGTCTCACAGACAGGCAGCTCAGGGGATGGGCCGAGTGCCGATAGAGACACACTGAGTGGTGGTACCACAGACGCACCTGCACCTGCACCTGCACCTGAGCGAGATGCTTTAGGACACATGTCGAGTGCACCTGTGGACTCTCGCGGTGGTGCACAGGGCCAGGGCCAGCCAGAGGACAAGCGGGTGCTGACGGAGACACAGAGCCAAGATACGGCGATAGGGCTACACAGAGAGCACTCCATCGCATCCAATGCGCTGTTGGCGCATATCCCCAATGTGGGGGTGTACAGCCGAAGCGACAGTGCCATGGAGGATCAGGGTGAGTGGAGTGGGATGGGTGGGGGGAGTGGAGAGTACGGGTGTAGTGTGTGTAAGTGTGTACTGCATCTCGTTGTGGTGTTTGTTATTGGACCGTTGAGCATCAGGGTGAGTGGAGTGGGATGGATGGGATAGCTGGAGAGACACGTGTGGTGCGTTGTATGTTTTTGTGTGCATCCAATTGTATACCCGATTCTAACCGTAAATTCTATACATAGTTCACGTCCTCTAACGAACCTTTCGCACGATTTGCAACTCTCATGAAGCAGGACTTCAGGATAACAGTTAGTGTTCGTATGAGCATGTCTACCCATGACTCATAGAATAAAGTGGGCGTATCTTGTATGTTCATCAATACAGCACCGTGTATACAAATCTGCTTGCTTGCTCACCTATCAAAACAACCTAATCACTGTACAAACATTAATGATCTTTCATTCGGTTATGGTGTGCAGCCTCGAGCTTGAAGCAGAGCATTAGTGCGATGGACAGTGTCCGCATGAGCATGTCAAGCCATGACACATTGAGTTTGAGTATGGGACCTTCCTCTCCGTACTCCTACCCTGTCGAGAGCATGATGAAAAATGGGGGTGCGGTCATAAGTGACGGTGGATATAACCAGGTATGCCTATATGTAACTACATTCAAGCATATTGATTTCAGCCTACGTGTATACGATCTTTGTATTGGGGTATACATATATATGTATACATATACATATATATGTATAC